GCTTTGCCATTTCCCGTAACTGACCCGACAGGAACTGTGCCGCCCCGCAGTCGGGACCCACGAAACTTCCAAGCAGGCGAACGCCGTCCTGGGAATATGGAACTCCCTGCGGCAGCAGATCCTTCACTGCTGCTTCCCTGCTCCAGGCTGCACATTTCTGCACATTGTGTCTAAGCCCCAGATGCACTAACCGCTCGGTGAAATGATTGAATGCGGCTACAGTGGCCTCCGCCTCCCCCATGAATGTGACATCATCGGCGTAGGCCAGACAAAGCACCTGGGGATATGCCTTATCAGTGTCGCGAAGTGCTGTGTGCATTCCCGCCGCAAACAGTAGAGGTCCAAGTGGGTCCCCTTGATGCACGCCCCGATCGCTGGTCAGCGGGTGTGATTCAAAATTTGCATCAAGATGCAACTTGGACGGGTTACCATAGGTCAGTTTCACCAGCGGCAGTAGTGGCGATAGCCCTGGCTCTTGTAACGCGGTCGCGATAGCTTGTCGGGATATGCTGTTGAATGCATTCGAGATATCGGTCTGCAGCACCAGGCTGTTGGGTAGCTTGTCCAGATACGCCCGAGCCACGTGGATAACTGCCTCGGCTCCTCCTGGCACAGCCACGCCGTACTGTAGAGGCAGGAAATAGGCACGTGCAGCATCGCCCATGGCTGCGAGGGCTGCCTTGGCTGTCAGCCGGGTGATGCACTCGCCAATGGCGATTGGTCGAGCCCCCCCACCAGGCTTGGCCAGGGCTATGAGTCGCGAGGCTGTCAGTAGGTCCGCCACCGGTGCTGGTAGGTTGCCCCCCAAAATGGTGTTTACTAATGCGTGCAGATGGGTGCTGACTCGTCCGTTCGTGATTGCCGCGTCGCGCAAATGCTCGAACGTTGTTCCCGAAGGTCCGGCACCGACCCCGTTCTCGCACCTCCCCAGCAGTTTGGCGAAGTCCGCGTGGGTGATGGACAATTTTGACTCGGGTGTGGGTGGCCACGTCGTTTGTCCTGTTTCGGCTGGCGGATGTTTTCGTCGGAGCTCCTCCAGAATTTCTGGAGTTGGTTTGCAGACTGGCGTTGACTCCAAAGCCAACACGGCTCGGCGCAGGCTGCCACGTTTCGCCAGGCCCTCGGCTCGGCTGATGACCCCGGTTGCATCTGGTTGATGACGTGGCGGCGCGGGTGAGTTGACTGCTTCAATCGCGTCCCTGTACAGTTGGTCCCATTCGCCACGCTGGAAGGCTCGGAGCCGGGCCTTTATCCGGGGCCAGTTCGGTTTCCGTGGCGAGTTTTGGCGAAGCGTCAGACGCGGCAGAAAGAGGAGAAGGCGCCAACCCGCCTCTGATTCCGGGTTTCGTGACAGGTGGAGTAACGGGGTCAGCAGCGCCAGCGAAAACAGCTGGCACAAATTGGGCGGTAACCGCCGTGCCAGAGATGGCTGTCGACTATCGCAGAGGGCAGGGATATCCCAGTTCGCGACGTCCGCGAACCAGTCTGCCCGCATCGCCAGTTCCTCTGGCGTGAAGTAGCGAGGGATGTTGGGATTTTCTCGCACCGCCTCCGTGTCCGTCGCGGCCCGATGTCGCCTGCTGCGGCCCGTCCTCGCTTGGGATTGTGTGGTTGGAATTTCGCCCGTACGATCGGCATTGGACGGTCCACCTGCAATGTCCTGTTGCTCGCCTTGGGACCGCAATGGTCTTGCTCCCGTCCTCCTCCCGTTCTCCCGTACTCCTTCCTCTCCTTCCGTCCCTTCATCTTCGCTCGAGGGCATGGGCTCCTCCCTATAAGAGGGGTCAGTTCCCTCTTCGTCATTATGTAGCCTGCTGAAAGCCCTTCGAGCCTCTACCTGATAGCCGTTCTCCGGCCCTCCTCCCTGTCCGCTAGCTGCTCCTCGCCCTCCGCCGCGCGCTCCCCGGCCTCGCGATGGTGATTGCTGGAGTGACCGATTACTCGCCAATGCGCGCTGGCGCTGCGTCGGTTGCGTTCGAAAGACTGTCATCTGCCTCTGGAGCGGGGACCTTGACGACGGGGTCCCCGCCGCTGTCTGTTCCGAAGTCCTTGACAGTAGCCGCTGGAATGACTCTTCCCCTCGAATCCGCGGGTCCTCATGACGTGAACGGGGCTGCGCCGTCTGCGCCGGTTGTTGCTCCCCCTGCTCCGCCTCTTGCCCCTGTTCCCCCTGGTCCTGTTGTGCCGCCGGCGGTCTCTGCTCCTGCCAGGAGGTTGCTGTTCCTCCTGTCCCTGTCCCTGGTGCGCCCGTTGCACCTGCCGTTTCTGTCCCCGGCGTGCTTGCGCCGGCGTCTGCTTCTTCCCCGAAGGCGGCGTCCGCCACCACTGTCGGCCCGGCCCCGGTGGTTGCGCCTCAAGGCGTGGACCAGCCTGGTCCCGCTCTTCCGCCGGCGGGCCCTGTAGTGCAGCCGGCCCGTCCCCAATCGCCAGACCGCCGACTCTCCCGGCCCCATTCTCCCGCGCCCCAGCAGGAGCGCGAGTCGTCGCGGCGCCGGCGCAACTCTCCCCGGCGCTACCAGCAGCAGGCCCAGTGGCCCGCTCATCGCGGTGGGAATGGGGGCTGGCGAGGTCCCCGCGGTGCGTTCCGCCCGCCTGTGACAATGGCGGATCTTCAGCGGGAGGTGTCACGGGCCGTGCGTGAGGAGAGGGCGGCGCTGAGCCAGAGCAGTTCCCCGCGGGCCGCGCCGGCGCCAGAGGCTCCTCGTCCGACCGCGCCTCCTGTGGTCCTTCCGTCGGCTGCCGCGTTTCCTCCACCCGTCCTCGGCCCGTCAGCTCCTTCTCTGTCTGTGGCTGCGCCAGCTCCCGGCTCTCGTCTGCATCTGCCGCCGGTTCCACCTGTTGCAGGGGTGGAGTTCGTGGCCGCGGGTGGAGGCGCGGCAGCGACTCAGTATGCAGCTGATGAGCCGCTCCAGTTCCTGGCGGAGGCGCTTCAGCCTCCGCAGACTCGTGTTCCCCAGTCGACTCTCGGTCAGCTCCACCGCCTCGCCGAGAGTCTCCACGCGTTGCTGCTGATACAGGTCCTTGCTCACTCCTCACTCCCTGTGATCTCTCCTGAGTCATTCCGCGACCGTCCGCGCGAGACTTGCCTGGATGCGGCGGACCAGCTCGCAGTGCTGCTGGCGCTCATGCTGGCTGCGCCCGCGGAGGGAGGCGCTGCTGCTGCGGGACAGCTGGACGAAAAATTTCTCAGCCGCCAAACTAACAATGAAAACACAGCCTTAGGAAGGCCTTGAGTAGGGCCCAGAGGCCACGGGCAGAGGCTAAAGGGCTGAGGGGAGAGGCTATTCCTCTCTCTCTCTCTCTCTCTCTCTCTCTCTCTCTCTCTCTCTCTCTCTCTCTCTCTCTCTCTCTCTCTCTCTCTCTCTCTCTCTCTCTCTCTCTCTCTCTCTCTCTCTCTCTCTCTCTCTCTCTCTCTCTCTCTCTCTCTCTCTCTCTCTCTCTCTCTCTCTCTCTCTCTCTCTCTCTCTCTCTCTCTCTCTCTCTCTCTCATGCAATTATCACAATAACATCAAACATTAAAACACATAATACATACAGTATAGCATGAAGCACAAAACTACTACATAAAAAAATCGCGAAAATATTCGTTTACAAAATTGCTATCAATATTCAAAACTTTTCAACATGCACAATGAGAAGGGTGGTACTGTAGCTTACGAATTTTATTTTCATGTTTTACTTAAAAATTCATGAAAAAAAAATTGTCAAAATCGATTGTAAAGGATTGTTTTGCAACCAAAAAGAAAAAAAGAGGTGACTAAGTCAACCTAGGGCAGTACATAATTTTATACAACTTTAAGCAGTATAGTATGAAACTTAAGTATGCTTTCCTAGTAAGTTTTCTGAAACACACCAGCACCAGTAGAAATCAAGGAATCTCTCACTTACCTGCTGAAATTATGCCGACTACACAACCATTGCTGTCTTTTGCTCGCTACTAAAACATTAAGTCAATTTCAAACGTGACAAATCTGTTACTGCCTTAGGGTTTGGTCGTTCCTCTTTTCTCTCTCTCCCTCTCGCTAGTTAAATGCTCCACCTAGTCACGCTACTCCACCTACTAGTGCTAAGGTAAGTGGCAGAAGTCTAGGCAGGAATGATTGAACTATCAGGAAGGTGGGTACAAATAGAAACCCTAACATTGGGTTGTACCCCATATGGGCTACCCCACTACAGCCTACAGACTATACTACAGCAGACATATGAATATAGTTTGACACACCCCCATAGGCAAAGTGGGGGAGAACAAGGGGTCACAAGACCAGTCAAGAAAAGCAAAGCAAGCTCAGGGTGGATCACAACGTCACCACACACACTGAGCACAAGCAAAGGGCCACAAGGCCAGTCCACATGCAAAGGTAGATATGAGCATCGAACCGAACTTCAGTTCGGTTCGAAATGTTCGGTTCGAGCTATCTCGAACCGAACTCTTTTTCTCGTGGAAAAAGTTCGCGCGAACTTGACTGATGTTCGCGCGAACAGTTCGTGCGAACATTTTGGATTCGCGATAAGAACCTCGAACCGATCAGGTTCGAGGTTTGAATATGCTCATTTCGAACATCGGGGGGTTCGAGATAAAATAATCGCGCTTCAAAAAACCTCTCGCGACTTTCCCGTCATAATCGGGAAAGTCCGAGAGTTGGCTGCCATTTTACGGCAGCCAACCCTAAAGTCGATAACCTAGGCATCTAGAGACTAGATCTAGATCTAATCCTACTCTAGGCTCTAAGCACACAACACAACCATGGATCCTCTAGATCCTACCATGCATTTCGTCTATAATTTAGGGTAGATCAGTGCGCCTTCATCAAGTTCCAGAGATGATGGGTTTCTTTAAGTTTAGTAACACTAGTTCAAGGCATTCCGTTTTTTAGGTCTTGGACCAACAACTTCGGTTTTTTAGGGAGGTGTAGGGACTGGAATTATGTCGAAGTACTTTCAGCCCCGGAATGCCGCCGTCAGTGAGCAACAAGAGGGGACGAACGACCGGGGGCCGGAAAATGCTCCCCCGCGTGATCAACCGGCCCGATTTGGGGAGGTTTCCTTGGGACTCCCGGGGTCGGTTCGTACATTCAGAGTGGGCACGGAGCTGCGGGGTGTGCGTGCTAGTTCCCGTGTGGAAGGTGCTGCCGCGGGACATGGCGAGGGTGTTGCGGCGGGCGAGGAGGAGGAGGAGGGTGATGGGGAGGGGGAGGGGGATGAGGAGGATGAGGAGGAGGATGAGGAGGAGGAGGAGGAGCACGTGCAATACCGTGTGGTAGGGGAGAGTGGGGATGAGGAGGATGGCTCGGGCAGTGGCGAAGATAGTGAGCGCGCGTACTCTCCCACAGATGAGGGGGGTGATGCGGCCGATGACGAGGACCACGAAATGGATGACCTGGTGGCGGAGGATGGTGGGGAGGAGGACGAGGAAGAGGGCGACGATGAGGAGGGGGTTGGCGAAAATGAGGGGAGGCGTGCAAGTAGGCCGGCGCGCCGCTAGCAAGGTGCGGCGAGTGGAGTAGGTCAGGGGCGGGCTGGTGGTGTGCGCAGTGGGCGTGTCGAGAAGAGGGGTCGCGGGAGGGGGACGAGAGGTAGAGGTGCGACGGCGCGGGGTCGCACGTCCCGCCGTTCCCCGCTGATCGAGGCATCTGTGGACGAGTCTAGGCCTCGGCGACGGCCACGTGCACCGATCGATGACGCTGAGCTAGGCATGACTGTCCACATGTATGGCCCTAAGATCAACGAACGGCGCAAGTGCAAGATGTGCCCAACTACGATTTCATGGCAGAACAGCACCACCACATCCGGCAAGCGGCAATATCACTCCAAGCACCGTGCACATTTGGGTATCTGGGAGCACCGATGGAACAACAGTCTAGTGGGTGAGGGTGAGACATTTCCAGAGGGAGGGTATTAGGGCGTGCCTAATGGGGGGATCGATTGGCCGTACTGCACGCAGTGGCCAAACATCCCTGGACGTCAGGGCGGCATTCGTGGAAGGGGGGGGATGGAGCGCTTTGTGGGCCGCTGGTTCAGCGTGCGCTCCTTGCGGGAGGCACTCACCAAGCTGGTGGTGACGGGCAACGTGCCCTTCCGCTTTGTGGAGCTGGAAGCGGTGAGTACCAATAACGATGATTGTTTCTGACAATTCTACGTTGCCATATGCCTCGATGTCTTGCATTCTTCAATCTTTCACTTATCGCCGTGATACCTCACCGCCATTGCTGTCCATCCTTCTGAATGTCACGCGCAGTTCCGCGAGTTGATGCTGCTGCTGAACCCGAACGTCGCGAACGTTCAAGTCCTTCCATCTAGGTGGACGGTTGCTCGCGATGTAGTTGTGTTTGCGGAGCGCGCACGGGAGGAAGCGATGGCTGATTTGGCACCACAGCCTGGAGAGCGCCCCACAAGAGTCGCAATATCCAGTGATATCTGGACCGGGGGGAACGGGAAGGCCTACTCGGTGGTAAAGGGTCACTTTGTGACACGAGACTGGAAGCTGCGGGAGGTGACGCTGGACTTCCGTGAAATGAGAGGGCGACACGGTGGAGAGCAGATTGCGGAGTTGGTGCTGCGGGTGGTGCGTGATTGGGACTTGGTGGACCGTTGTGTCGCCTTCGTGAGCGACAACGCGTCTAGCAACACCCGCGCGTTCCACCTCCTCTCGGGTGGTAGTTCTCGCCCTGCCATTTTCCGCCCAGGCATGCACGTCAGGTAACTAGCTTTACTACGCAAGGGTTTCGTGTGTCTTGAAGTCGTTGTGTTTGTTTATGCCGGGGGTTCTTTCACCCCTGGCATGTATGGTGACATGACATTTGTGCACCGTCCCCACCCCTCCTCTCGCCCTACCTCAGGTGCACCTCGCACGTGCTGAACTTGGTGATCCAGACAGCACAGAAGGTGCCCCTTGTGCGCAAGACCCTGCGGCTGGTGCGAGACGTTGCGGTGTTCGTTGGGTACTCCCCCATCCGCACGGCGAACTTCCAGGCGGAGCAGGTGCGGGCGTACCCGGGTAGAGCGCCCTTGAAGCTGGTCCAGGACAGCCCTACACGATGGGGATCGACGTATGAGATGGCGGTCCGCTTCCTCGAGCTGCGCAGGGCGATCCACGTCCACTTCTACGATGACCAGGTACGATAGTGCTAGTATCCTACCACCTGCATGGCCTTTGCTGCAAATTGTTGTACTGCTTGTATTGGCGCAAGATTTAGTACGACATCCTAATCGTTGGTCTCTACCCCCAATGCCTCCTCCCTAAACCCCGACCCCAGGGCACGACAAAGAAGGAGCGGAAGCGCTATAAGTAGCTCCGCTTGACAGATGACCACTGGGAGGCGCTTGTGGCGTTGAAGGTGTTTCTTGCACCCTTCAACGCCGTCAGCAAGGCAGCAGAGGGGTCGCTCTATCCGACCATCTCCATGGTCATTCCGAGCTACAACGACCTGCTGGACAGTTTGGAGGAGAAGCGCCATGGCACGCCGTCCCCGCTGATCAGGGCGATGATTGTCGCCGCGCTGGGGCACCTGAAGAAGCACGTGTATGCCAGCAGCGACGACCTGCTCATCGCCACGTTCCTTGATCCAGCGATGCGAGATGGGTACTTCGCTCTAGGCACGTTCGAGACAAGGCACCCAGAGTTGGTTCAGGATGGGAGGGAGAGGCGAGCAACGGGCCCAGTGACGGTGGAGCGGATCCTAGACCTAGTGCGCACACGTGTGACGGATTACCAGGCGCGGGCAGCAGCGACAGCGCCTGCGCCTCCACCTGCAGCAGCAGCGCCAGCTCCAGTAGCTGACATTGAGGGGGATAAGGCTATTGGCAGTAGGCGCCGCTTGATTGCGCGCGTATCTGCTTCGCGGGCTGCAGGAGGGGCTAGGCAGTTGGGCGACGAGGTGGACAGATATGTCGGGCACGAAGAGACTGGTGACCTATCCCCCCTCGAGTTCTGGCGCACAGTGAAGAACCTCGACACGCTGCGAGCCATGGCCAGGGATTATCTGGCGATTCCCGCCACCTCGGCGTCGTGCGAGCGAGCTTTTTCACAGAGCAGGAACTTGATCACATTCCAGCACACACGCCTGAACACCGAGCGTGTGCGGTCGTGCATGACTCTGCGGTCTTGGTACGACACGCACCCTGGTGGTCGTATCGGTGATGGGGCAGATTCTGCCCGTGCTGCAGCTGTAGTGGACTTGGGGCTCGAGGGAGAGGAGGACTGCGAGGAGGAGGAGGAGGAGGAGGAGGAGGAGGAGGAGGAGGAGGAGGAGGAGGAGGAGGAGGAAGAGGAGGAGGAGGAGGAGGAGGAGCAGGGGGGGAGGCGACATGTGCTGCGGGTGTGGGAGAGGGCCAGGGCTAGGGTGTTATGGGTTCGTGTGGATGGGTGTTGCTAAACTATGCTCCAATTTTCCTTTAGACTTCTCTTGATTGGACCCTTGGGGGTTTTAAGACCCTCGCGTTTGCTTCTTTTTTTTTTAACATGATGCCGTTCACACACCCTAGACATGCATGTGCTGTAGAATAACATGTGCAGCATTTTAAACCTCAAACCTGCAAAGGTTCGAGTTCGCTCAAACCTTATACGGTTTGAGCAAACCTTTCGGGTTCGCCATTGTATTCTCAAACCTCAAACCTTAAAATTCTGAAAAAAGTTCGAGCAAACATGTTCGGTTCGGTTCGAGCAACATGCGAAGTTCGAGAAAGTTTGCTCAAACACGTTTAAGTTCGGTTCGTGCTCATATCTATGCAAAGGTATGTATGCAACAGGAACAGCACAGTGATCACTACCTAGCAAGAGCAAGCATGCAGGTATATGTATATAGATCACAGTACAAGCAAAGCCTACAGCAAGTGTGGAAACGTAGGTACAAGGCCTAACAAGGTACAGAAGCGCTGATGATCACCAGACGAAAGTGCCTTGGTGAATATATCAGCAGTGTTGGCCCGAGTGGCTACGTGAGCAAGACGAAGCTGACCTCGCTGCTGCAAATCTCGAGCCAGGAAGTAACGCAGAGCGATGTGCTTTGTTCTGTGCTCCAGTCTGTGCTCCTGACACAAGGCAATGGCGGCCTTGTTGTTGACGTACAGAACTGGAGGGGAACGAGGCCGCTCTCCCAAGTCAGTCAGCAGGTAGGTGAGCCAGCATAACTCCTGAGCAGCCATGGCTGTGGCGTAGATCTCAGCCTCACAACTGGAGCTGAGAACAGAAGACGAGCATGTAGACCGCCAAGAAACAGAGCCAGAGCCAAGACTGAAGGTGTAACCCTGCGACGACCGCTGCGTAGCCTGGTCGTCAACCCAAGACGCGTCAGAGTGTCCAGTGAGGACAACGTCACCCCGTCCTCCAAGCACGAGCCCCATGCCTGATGTACTGCACAGGTAGCGCAGTACCCTCTTTGCAGCATCCCAGTGCAGTTTTTGGTGATTACCAGGAGCCACGTAGCGAGCCAGAAGGCCAAGAGGGTACGCAAGGTCAGGTCGAGTGCAGGTCATGAGGTACATGAGGCAGCCCACTAGCTCTGGGTAAGGACCACTCGGCTCTACGGACTCGTCCGAAGGTGGATCTGAGAGCGAGTGACCTATAGCCAGAGGAGTGGACTGTGGGGAGGACCAGGTGAAGCCGAAGCGCTGAAGGACCTGCTGCACCATGTGTGACTGAGTCAGTGTGATGGTGCGGCGTGCTCTGTCGCGGGTGATCTGCAAGCCAAGGTAGCTGCGCAGCTCACCCAGGTCTGTGCACGTGTGTCTCTTCTGCAGCTCCGACTTCACAAGGGCGAGAGCCTCAGTGTAAGCAGTGGCAAAGACCAAGTCGTCGACGTACACGAGGATGTAGAACGGTGGCAGCGAAGTGTCGGTGCGCAGAAACAGTGACGGGTCAGCAGTGGAAGGAGCAAACCCAAGAGCCGCAAGTGTCGTCATCAGTGTGTCGTGCCACTCACGAGGCACCTGGCGGAGACCGTAGACTGGCCGCCGGAGGCTCCACTGGGTACCAGGAGGAAACGACCCAGTGAAGCCAGATGGGCGGCGCAGCCAGATCTCCTCGTGCAGGCTGCCCTGTAGGAAGGCTGTGCTGAAGTCAAGAGAGTGAAGCTCGTAGTCACGCTGAGCGGCAACGTGCAGCAGCACCCGAAAAGTGGTCATCTTCGGGATGGGGGAGAAGGTCTGGAAGAATTCAACTCCCTCTCGCTGACTGAAGCCTCGAGCAACGTAGCGAGCCTTGAAGACAGGCGGAGAATCCGGCGGCCGCTTCATCCTGAAAATCCACATGCCATCGACGTAAGTGCCTATGAACTTCCAAGATGCCATCTCTGCGTCCATGGCTGCTTGCCACTGAGAGGAGTACTCACCCGCGATCGCCTCAGCGTAAGAGCGCGGGGTCGGGATGTCTACAGCATCCGGGTCTCCCTCAGGGGCAAGCAGCATGGCCACGAGATGAGGCGCAGCAGCTGCAAGACACTCAAGGTCCTCGTGCCTGTCCTCAAGGACGTCCGTGCCAAGAGCATACTCACCCCCGACGGACGGAGGACAGACAGACTCAGACTCAGCAACAAGACTAGCAGCGTAGTCTAGACGACAGGCAGCAGCAAAGTTAACAAGCTCAGCGACTAAGGCAGACGCAGCAGCAGACTCAAACGACGGGTCAATGACAACAGTGGCTAGCAGACGCGTGACCGTAGGGTGCTCAGCACGAAACCGGTCAGACTCAGGGTCCGAAACGTCAGGCAAAGAAGACGCAGGAGGAGACGGCAGAGGAACACGCTGTGGAACAGAGGAAGGACGAAGTGCCATAATGTGCGTGCCAGAGATAGGGGGAGGACGCTCACGACTAAGACGACTAATGCGACCAGTGCGACCAGTGCGAACAGGCGAGACAGGACGGGACGCAGGCTCGCGACGCTCAGTAAGACCTCCTGTCTGCTCAGTGTAAGGAGAGGGAGCAGGCAGGGGGGAGCCTGGCTGTAACGGTAGGCCAGTGGAAGACGGCAGGCTAAGAACCTGGCGAAGCACTGTGTCAGGAGGCGGCAGAGACGACGGTGACGGCGGAGAGAAGAACAGTCGCTGCGCAGCAGTGCCACCAGCACTAGTAGCTCCAGTGCCTCCAGCAGCTCCAGAACCTCCAGTAGCTCCAGACCCTCCAGCGCCAGCTCCTCGAGCGCCAGCACCACCAGCAGCCGCAGAACCTCCAGCGCCAGCACCGCCAGTACCAGCGTCACCAGCAGCAGCACCCCCAGAACCGGCAACTCCAGTCCAATTGTCTCCAGCAGCAGCACCCCCAGACGCAGCACCTCCAGCCCCAGCAGCTCTAGTACCTCCAGTACGAGCACCTCCGGGTCTAGCGGCTCCAGCACCTCCAGCAGACAAAGTACCCGCAGTACTCCCAGCTCCAGTGTCAGCAGCTCCAACAGCACCTCCTGCGGCAGGGTCAGCAGTACCACCAGCTCCAGCGTCCTCAGGCCCAGCGGCTCCAGCGTCGTCGGCACCTCTCGCACCAGCCCCAGTACCCTCTGAACCGGCACCCCCAGCTCCAGGGACGTCAGCAGAAGCGCCTCCAGCGGCAGAGCCCCGAGCTCCAGCAGCGCGACCCTGACGGCGAGCGTACCACTCGTGCAGCTGCTGTGGGGAGAGAGGCGCACGCGGACGAAGGCGGCCACTCCAAGGAGACCGCGCACAAGCAGTCTCAGTACCCTCAGGCGCCGCACCCCCAGACTCAGCACCCCCAGGCTCCTCACGCTCAGGCTCAGCACCCCCAGACTCAGCACCCCCAGACGCAGCACCCCCAGGCGCAGTACCTCCAGTCTCCTCACGCTCAGGCTCAGCACCTCCAGGCTCAGCACCCCCAGGCTCCACACGCTCAGGCTCAGCACCCCCAGACTCAGCACCCCCAGGCTCAGCACCCCTAGGCTCCGCACACTCAGGCTCAGCACCCCCAGACGCAGCACCCCCAGGCTCAGCACCCCCAGAGACAGCACCCCGAGCAGGACCACCCCCAGCAGGACCTGAGTCACCAGTGACCTCAACAGGCTCAGGCACAGGAGGGTCTACCTGAGAAACACCTGAAGGAGCAGGACCTAGCGCGGGGAGGGGGTCTACCTGGGGAGGACCTGGAGCGAGAAAGAGCGGAGGGGGGGGGGGGGGGGCGAGCGGCAGTGCGGTAGGGAAAGAGACGGTAAAAGGGGACCGACTCGTCGAAGGTGACGTCCTGAGACGCAAAGACACGGCGCGAAGCGGGGTCGTAAAACTGCCAGCCAGGCGCTACAGGAGGAAAACCAAGGAAGACGCAGGGAATGGCGCGAGCGGAGAGCTTGTCCGCGGTGGTATCGCGGACAAAGGCACGAGCACCCCAGACCCGGAAGCGCGATGCATCGCCAACCTCCCCCGTCCACAGCAGTGTGGGCGAGGTCTCCGGCAAGGAGACACGGGGCCAGAGGTTGAGCTGATGCGCCGCGTACCGGACCGCAAACGGCCACAGAAAATGGGGGGCAGCCGCATGGATCATGGAGGTACGAGCGACCTCCATGACTAAGCCAATGCGGCGCTCGGCAACCCCATTCTGCTGCGGAGAGGCTGGAAGCGTGAACGACTGGCGGATGCCGTGCTCCTCACAGAAAGCTCGCAAGAGGTCGGAGGTGAACTCACCACCTCTGTCAGAGTGCAGATGCAGGACAGGAAAGTCCGAGTGGAACCGCTCGCGGAGCTGGAGACGAACAGCGCGGATCCAGGGGATCAGAACATCAGGGACCTGACCCTTGCTGCGCAAGGGGAAGACCGTGGTGTAACGCGTGTAGTCGTCGACGACCAGCAGGAAGTACTGCTCGCGGCCCTGCCCCTGGACGCGGGCTGGGCCCCACACGTCTAGGTGGAGAGTCTGCACTGGATCCTCTGTGGGAGGGAACGAGGAGGAGTGAGGAGCGGTGCGCTGCCGCCCCTCGACGCAAGGAATGCAGGGCGGGGCAGGCGAGGGAGGGAGGGCGGGCAGAGACCTGGGAAGGCCAGAGACCAGTAGGCGAGAGTGCATGCCACGAAGGCGGGGTAGAGAGGGGTGACCAAGGCGGTGGTGCCACGGGATAGTGTCGTGCGACAGGCGGCGACACTCACACTGGGTAGCTACCTGAGCAGACGCGTACAGCTGAGGAGACAAAGGGGTGTAGCGCGACACAGTGGTGAGGGTGTACAGGCTGGACTCTGGCGCACGTGTGAACGTGGCCAGGTGGCGGCCAGTCCTAGAGCACGTACAGATCGCCACACGCTATCCTTCAGGAGTAAAGGTGTCAACCCAATGATCCTGAAGGACGGCGTTGCTCACCAGGTTCGTAGAGAACGAGGGGATGTGGAGACCTGACAACGTATTCGGATGTCCCAGCTGTTGAAGTGTGCGTTGCTCACGTCCTGGCAC